GAGAGGGAGGGGCAAGCTGTGAGCACTACGCCCGTCCCTTAAGTTCCTACGCCCTTCTTGTTAACGTGGGTGAGGGTGAGTTCCGCAGACTGACACAAATATTACAACGTCGCTCATTCTAACACAATGCTCTTGGTGGGCGGCCGGGGATGAGGGGGGGGGAGTCAAGCCAGTATTACCGAATTAATAGTCTCATTTTTTCTCACGGATTGAGATTTCCAACAATTTTTCTCCTTAACACATTCAGACCAATTTTTTATTACAGTTTTTAGAACACATTTTTTTTTAGCATGGGTAACAAGGCCACGCCCTCTGGTTTCACACAGCTGAGGAATAGAACAACCACGCCCACTGCAGTAACGCTGAATGGGCGTTTCTCTTGACCACGCCTCCTATCGAGCTATCTAGTAGGAGACGTCCCACCGCTTGATGAGATATCATATTTATGACACCTTTCAGCCGTAAAAGAGAGAGGGTGAAGAAGAGAGAGAGGGAGGGAGAGAAGGAGAGAGGAAGAGAGAAGAAGGGGAAAGAAATGAAGCCAAAGCCCACATAACCTTGAAAAACAAATACTGATATTCATTTGGGAATGAGGGAGGAGGGGGAAGGATAGAGTGAAGGAGGGAGGGAGGGAAAGAAGGAAGAAGGAGGGAAGGAAGATGGAAGGAAGGAAGGAAGTGAGGAGGTAGGGAATAAGGGAGGGAGGAAGGTTGGGAGGGAGGGAGGGAGAGAGAGAGAGAGAGAGAGAGAGAGAGAGAGAGAGAGAGAGAGAGAGAGGGAGGGAGAGAAAGAGAGAGAGAGAAGAAGAGAAGAGAGAAAGAATCACAAACAAAATAAAAAATCCACAAACATGAACTTGAAATCCAACATCCCTATGACACAACACAAGCAAAAACACATGTTAGGAAAATATACAAGAGTAATATGTAATAACAAAGGAGAAGAGAATAGAAAAAAAAACGAGAAAACAAAATAAATAGAAATGAAGAAAGACGCGAATCATTAAAGAAACTATTGGAATGTTGGGGAAAAAAATTACGAAGGCGAGAGTAACCATTAACACAGGAAGTAACGAAGGTCAGGAATGCAGAAAAGTCAACAGATAGAGAGAAGGGGAAGAGAGATGGAGAAAGGACGTGGGACAAAAGAGAAAATAAATAAACCCTATTAAAAAAAAACTTAAAATAAGAAAACAAAACTTTGAAAGGGATATTAGAGAGTAGGCATGGAATAGTCCAAACAAACGAGGGGGTGGGGGGAGAAAACAGTAAGAGTAATGACGAGGGAAACATAATTGTCACACTTTGCCAAACGAATGGTAAGTGACGAAGGCAGTAGGTGGCAAAGGAAGTGATTTGTTTGGCAGAATGACACACTGTTCTCATGATCGTCTGTGTGGCCAGCATACACAAACAGAATGGAGGAAAGAAGTGATGGTGTGCTAGTGAGTTCTGCGTTGAATGTCAGGCATGTGTGTTGAATCCACAATGAAACAAATTCCTTAATTGTTTGTTTTTATTTATTTCTCTAAAACTCGTCATGAAAGTCAACAATGTCTCTGGTAAGTCAGGGTTGTGTGTTGAATCTACAATGAATCACTCTCTCTCTCTCTCTCTCTCTCTCTCTCTCTCTCTCTCTCTCTCTCTCTCTCTCTCTCTCTCTCTCTCTCTCTCTCTCTCTCTCTCTCTCTCTCACTCACTCTCACTCTCAATCTCGCACTCTCCTTTTCTCACTCTCTCTCATCTTTATCTTTACCTTCATCCTCATCTTCCTCATTTTCATAATCATTCTCGAATCCGAAAGTATTTTCGCTGAAACTTGTGCCTAACACGCATTCGTCGAACCTGGTTGCGTCACTTTCCGTGTCCAGAAGCCACGCGTGAAAAAGAAAATGACGATGAAAGAAAGAAGAACAAGAAGAAAACAGAATAACATAAATAGATAATGAGTTACTGATGTACACCGGACGTTGTCAATGAGGTTCGCTCCGGTTGACCAAAGTTGGTTTATAGGTTTGTGTGTGTTTTGCGTCTCGTTCCTTCCCTCCTTGTCTCCTCTCCTTCCTTCCACCCTTCTCCCCTTCCTTCCTACACCTTCTATCCCTTCCAGCCATTCTTCTCCCTTCTCCTTTCCCCGCTCCACCCCTCCTTTCCTTTCCTCCACCCTCCCTCCCTCCCCTCCCTTCCTTCTCACATCCTCCTCCCTCATCCTCACCCCACCTCCATCTCCATCCACTCTCTCACCCTCACCCTCCACCTTGCTCCACAGCCCTCCTACACCCTCTCCTCCCCTCCCCTCCTTCCCACACGCTCTCCTCCCCTCCCCTTCCCACACCCTTTCCCTCCTTCCCCATCCCCCTGCTGCCCAAACTCACCCTCTCCTCCCCTCCCCCCCCCGCTCCCCCACCCTTCCCGCAGAGACTAATGGTCACCTGGGGGAAGGACGTCGACAGGTTGCTCTTTCCGGGAGAGCGAGACGCGGCGGTGGCGTCGAGTGCCTTGCTTTATGGCGATTTGGGTCAAGTTCGTGGACGCTCGGGGAGGGGGGGGGGGGATGGGGGGAGGGGGGAGGCGAAGGGGATGACGGAAAGGGAACGGGAGAGGGAGGAGGGAGGGAGGGGAAGGGGTGACGGGAAGGGAATGGGAAGGGGAGGAGGGAGGGAGGGGAAGGGGGGTGACGGGAAGGAAACGGGAAGGGGAGGAGGGAGGGAGGGGAATAGGGAAGGGTGAGTCGGAAGGAGATATGGGAGCGAGAGGGGGAGAGGGGATGGGCGAGAAAGAAGGAAAAGGAGGGCAGGGAAAGGGAGAGGTAACGACAGAAAAAAAAATGAAGGTTGAGAAGGAGAGAGGAAAGGCGGAAGAGGGAGAGGAAAGGGGAGAAAAGGGATGAGTTTCGAAGGGTTGGCTTTAAGGAAAGGAAAGAAAAAAGAAGAAGATAAAAGTAAAAACAAAAACAATAGAGGAAAGAAATTCTAATCCCACGTCTTTGGCTACACGACCGAACGCTGACTTAAGCAAGTGAGCAATAAAAATAGCCCTTGCTTTCTGTGCGCCGTTCGCAAATGCCTTCGTGAAGCTTATGCGCGATATTAATGCCCTTGTTGGTGTCTCGATTATGCCGAGGAAATGTCCCCCTGGCTTGAGTGTGTGACCAAAAGGCATCTGGAAAATTAGCGGGGAGAGTCCGACACAAAAGCTGCATGATCGTTGGACCTTGACTTCATCGTTAAACCTCCCTCCCCCTCCCCCTCTCCTCCCTTCCCACTAGGATCCCCTTCCTCCTCCTCCTCCTCCTTCTCC